TCCCTCCCTCCCTCTCTCTCTCTCTCGCGGGGGGGGGGGATGGGGGGAGGCGGGGGCGCTGGCTCTCCTCGCTCACGCCCCTCCCCCCCCCAAAAAACGAAAACCCCCGCCAGGAAGAAGACGCAGAAGTGGGAAGAGATGAACATCCTGGCCACCTACCACCCGCCCGGCAAGGACTACGGGCTCATGAAGATCGACGAGCCCAGCACCCCCTACCACAGGTGCGCGGGAGGGCGGGAGACGGGGGGGGGCGGCCGGCCGCGGGCGGGCGTGTCGCGGTTGCCGGCCCATCGAGCCCCTGACGAGCTTCTCTTCTCCCCGCAGCCTGAAGGAGGAGGACGCCGGCAGCGACGCCGAGGACAGCTCGGGGCCCACGCCGGACGTCCTGGCCGAAAAGTAGGTGACGCCTCGGCGTGGGGCCGCCCGGTGGGGAGCCGCCCGTGGCTTCCTGGCCTCGGCCGATGGGACGGGGACTCCCGGCGGGTGGGGGTGGGAGGCCGGGCCGCAGCCGCTCTCGGGACTCCCGAGGCCTCGCTCAGGGTCTCCGCCGGCGTTTCCCTCCTGGGGCCCGAAGGCGGCCCCTGCCTCTCCTTTATAAGGCTGGCGCCCGGGTCGCTTAAGGGCGGAGGGGCGCGGTCTCTACTCCCCTGTTTTGGCCTGTCGGGGCTGACGATGAAGGGCAAAGGGAAGCTCCGGTGTCTCCGCTGGTCTCTGGGGCGAGAGAGCCGCTTTCTTGCTGCTTCTGTAGGAACGGAGGGGCCGTGGCCATTGACGGCAGGTGTGTTCGCTGCAAGAATGGAGTGAGGTCGGTCTCCATTGCTCTGGCCTTTCCCACCAAAAATTTGACAGCGATTTTTGTGAAAGATGGGAAGCAAGGCAGCCCTGTGTTGCATATGGCTTCAACTGGCCCACGCAGCAGGTCGGGGGTTGCTTTGGCCCCTTCTTGATCCAAAACTCTGATGAATATCTTCCACCTCCTCCCCTGGCCAGTATTTTATCCCTTCTTATTCAAAAGAAACATCTTTACTATATTTATCAACTTTATTGATGAAGGGAGGGAGATGGTCAATATGGAATACAAATAAAATAAATGTACTAATCAAACTTACATGGCTGCCCCCCATCTTATTGAAGGCCTCAATGCTTGTGAGAAAGTTCTCAATGGCTTTGATTAACCCTCTTGCCCCTTGTTTCCAGAAATCCTCTTTTAGACATCTCCACTGACAGGAGTATCCTTTTTAAAAAGCCCTGTCCTTGTTCTCTGAGAACCTGTGTGGTGGGGTTGTCCCCAACCACCTTCATTTAGGCACACCTATCTTTTTTAGTAGGGGGATTTAAAAAAACCCTCCTTGTTTGAGGTTGAGTTCCTTGCTCTGCGCTGCAGACTGCTCTCCTCTCTTCCTAGATGCAGTTCCTTTCAGAGCTCCGAAGACTCCCCCCCCCCCCTGTCTGAATGCTCTCTTACCCAGCTGCACTCAGCCAGGCTACCATTGCCAGATCCATTTGTCTTCCTGGCGGTTCTAATGGTCTGCTTCTATTTCCGGCGCTCTTAAAAAAGAAGCCCTGGTAATAAGGAGACAGGCGGGGTTCCTACAGAATGAAGCGAATGCCCAGGGATGTGGTGTGGTGCATCTGGTGAACTCTTAATTATAAACAAACTCTGTGCTTGTGTGCAAGGTCTCCTGTTTGCCTCCTCTTGCCAACAGGCATGGGTAGGCCTTAATAGCAGGCTGGATATATGTGCCATTCTGGCCTGCTGGTGCATGTGAAATTTAATTTCTTTTTTATATATATGGAAAGTTTTTTATTTTTCATTTACAAACATAAACATTCCACCTGTCCATCTGCAGCGCGTCCTCTGGTTACAAACATCTCTGTGCAACATCATTCACCATTTCCCATCTCATTCACATTCATATAACATGACCAGCTGTCCTTTTTGACTGCCCTTGAATCCTGGTTTTTTGTATCTTGAAAGCTGTGCAACTCTTTGTTGAGCCTTTTTGAGTTCTGATTTGCTCTCTGATGACGTTTGATGGCTGCATTTGCAGATTTGACAAGCGGCCCTTTGCTCCTTTACCTGGTCTTTAGAAAAATGTTGACCACACAAGGCAGATTGAAAGGATGCTCAAGTTTGTTCTTAAGAACCATTCAGGGAATAGTAGGCTCTAAGCTACTTCTCAGCGATGGCCTATTCTCTTTGTTGCGCTTCTGTAATTTACCAGTCACTCTTATCGATGTAGTGGTTAAGGAATCAGGCTAAAAACCAGGAGACTCTGTGTTCTAATCCTGCTTAGGCACCAAGCCAGCGGGATGATCTTTGGCCAGTCATAGGAAGGAAGCAAACCACTTCTGGAATCCTGCTGGGACATGTCCAGGTCAACATGGCCTTGAAGGCATCAGAAGAAGAAAAAAAATGTCACTGGGAAGAGAGGGGTTTGGAAGAGCGGCTTCTGGGTTTATGCTGCCTGCTAGTTCTCGGTGCATTTTTCCCCAGATACTCCTGGATGGCTACTTAATTATTCCACAGGATTTCACAGAGTATGGCTTTGAAGCTGACTGGGTGGCAGTTTTTTGGTCCAACCAGAAAATTCAACATGGGGACAATTTTTTTCCTGGCCTCTCACCTGTTGTCTGAGATATGACCATGTTGAACTCCTCCTTGGTTAGATGTCTCTTCTTCCATCTGTCTTCTGAGTGTAACCCCCTGGGCTTCACTGGGTGGTCTCAACTTTCCCATTTGAAAATGTTTTGACTTCAGAATCTGAACATTTTTCTTTCTGAATTTTTACCTGAGCCTTTGGAAATCGCCTTTCGTGCACTCCAAGAGCTCCAAGGGTTCATGACCCTTGCTTGTCTGTGTTGCTGGAAAATGAGCTAGTATTGCTATATCGAAGAAATAAGATTAGGAAGTGTGGGCATGTCCCGGTCGCAAAGCCTGGTCATCTTGTGGGACCACCTCAATAGCTGCACCCGCCCTGTGGGGCATCTGCCTGCCTGAGGTTTTGTGGTTCTGATTCCTGGAGTTTTCATTAAACTGGGAACAGACTTGGGCTCTGCCTGGAGTGGTGTACACCAGTTTACCCCTTGGAAATCGCTTCTGTTTGTTGTAATTTATATATAAAAAGAACTCTCATTTTTTAAAACCATAGAGATGAAAATTTCCAGAAAGGTTGACTCCCCTAATATTCTTCTGGGGAAATGGGATAATGGATATTTATTTATTAAATTTGCGTAGTGCCATTCATTTTTCTAAATGAAACCTCTTGGCAGACTTTTAATTCCAGGGAATTTAGCAGTCAAAATGTTCATAATTATGCTATTTAAACATGCATTTTTAAAGAAATCATGTACGAGATAACAGGAATAATTATGAAGAAATTGTATGCAAATACGTTCGGGGTCTCCAGGTAGGAATATTGTTAGCAACAGGTTTTATTTAAACAGCCGAGGTGGCGCAGTGGTTAGAGTGCAGTACTGCAGGCCACTTCAGCTGACTGCTAACTGCAGTTTGGCGGTTCAAATCTCACCGGCTCAAAG